GAAATGGGAATTTCTGGCTCAGAAATTATATATATATATATATATATATATATATATATATATATATAATAAGGCAAAATCGATTCACTTTAATAAATTACTAAGTCCCCTTATGCTCATGGATTGCCCGAATTGTATAATGAATCCTAAATGGTTGTGACGTAAAATTCACAAGAAGGGGAAGAGATTTTTGAATTTTCGACAAATTAAATCTAGAATTCGTCTTTATGGCAGCCCAGAAAATATGGCTTAGGAAACCTAGTTTAGTGGAGATGCTATAAGAAACTATTTTCTCTGCATTGGGGCTGGAAAAGAATGCAGCTCTTTTTTCAGGGATTTCCTGATTGAATACACCATTTAAATATTTTGCTATAAGAAGCCCCTTAATGCAAGTTTTCTCGATTACTTTTCTAACCATATTTGGGAGTGAAAATCGGTGTCATGAATTTCAAGATAATATGCATTTTATGTTTAGCAGTCATTGACAGCCGGGACCAAAAGCTGGGCTCTCTAAAAGACATTTTAATCCATAGCACTTATATAATTTGACCATTGGGTAAATATTGTGTATGCTTACTAGGTTATTTGAGGATCATCTTCAATTTTCGTAAAAGAATTGCTAATGCGTTTTACTGAATATCACGAGTGACTTTGGTCTACAATGCATTTGTTTTAGTTATTGGGATTTATTTCTACAGCATCCTGAGCACAAAATTCCTCTTTGAAAGCTCAGCATGTCTAACCAAAACTGCAACGCTATCGTTTACGAATTATCTGCAGCAAAGCATAGTGGAACAAAGGCAATTTTCTTCGGCTTCTTTTGAGGCTACTTGACAAAACCCTCAGTTACAAACTTTCAAGCAAGCTGAGAACGATGCCTCACTAGAGAATCACGAAGATCAGCTCTTCCGTTTCTCTGTTAATGCGCCCTTTTAGAAGGCCTCCAGACTCGCTTTATAGACCAAATGGCGACAATTTGTCTTTTTGTGGTGAAGAGCATATCTATTCAAGAAGTGGGTTGACCTCTTCATCACAACTTGGTCTTGTTGTCAGGGTGACTTAGAAGAACGCAG